TTTTTTAAGACTTTGACCCAGCGTTTGTCCTGGTACATCCAGTAGACAGCTGGTCCATGAGCTACACTCTGGCTTATATCCCAACTGACTCTGAAGCTTTAACGACGACTCTAATCACATATAGGAACTGTAGCTCCGACTTTTCGGTGAGTTAAAACAATTTGTCCATAACATGAACTATTCGTAAAAGTAGATGTGAAGTTTAATTAAGAACTATTATAACTTCAATTTTTGGAAGAAAACGTTTTTTGTTTAATAATTTCTATAGTTTTCAAATTTTAATAAAAATAGAATTGCCTAGCCATATGAACGTAAACAATGTATGTTTAATAGTGCAGAAAATTAATACTTTTAAGGACAAAGCCATAAATAGTCTCGATTTTTAGCGCAATTTCCATACGGACAATTGCGATTATTAACTCGTCGTTTCTGGATGTATGAATGAATGGATGTGTGTCCGCAGCTTTAAGTCGTATCTCCTCCTCAACAAAGCAATATTGAGGACTAGTTTCAAAGCAAATATGTTAAGCAAGTTCCGAGGACGATTGTTGGCCAAAAATATCCCCGGAATTCATTTCTGGATTTCCCGGAAAAGCCAAAAAACCTCGAACAAATGCAGTTTTTGGTCCATATCTCGGCAACCAGACCACTTAGCGACTTGAAACATTTACCAATCGATTCCTGCCATAATTTAGACCAATATTGCCGAAGAAAGTTTTCAAAAATATCCTTTCGTTCGGTCACAAAAAATTAATTAAGACCATTTAAACTGAGCATCGTTTAGGCCTAGGATGATATTTACTACTTTTTTAAACTGAGCATCTTGTAGACCTACTAGTTAAAATAAAACTATTTCCGTTGATATAGGTTAATATAGTTGTCTTTTTTTTTTACTTATTAATTCAAACGTTATTTTTGTACCCTATTAATTTATTTATAATTTATATGAGAGTGATAGGGAGTTACAATTACAAGGTTTTGTTTCACTAGGCCTAATCATTTTTTTCACATTTTTTTAAAAATTAATAAAGGAAATTGCGCTTAAATTGTCACTAGACTTTTTATTAACTTGTTTTTATCAAAGAGTGTAAAAAATATTTTAAAACTCGTGTGCAATATTACAAAAGTAGATATGGTTATACAATCTTTTTGTCGGACTTTACTAAAGATTGAATGTGATTGGTGTTTTTAGTACTTTAGGTAGCTAAACCCATTTAAAAAAAACCAAAGTCGATTTGATTGTTTTCATTTTATTACAGCAAAAGTAAAAAAAAAATTGGTAGAATTAGGTCATGTAGTTTTTAAAATATTAATTTATTTGAAAATTGTATCGGCAAAGATTTGAGAACAAATTTCTATGAAGTGGGGTATACAGAACATGGATCATGGAGTTGATATACACAATCAATATTTTCCTTACGTCAAACTCGATGTTATAACTTAGGCTTGATGAAAATAAATATGTGTTGCCTGAAACTAAAAATTACAACCTTAAACTTCTCTTGATTTGAAACTTTTATAACATAGACTTAAAAAATATGAATATCAATATTTTCTTATTTTAATGTATGTCTACTATTTTAGCTTGATGGTGTGCCTATGAATATTTTCTTTCTTTTACTCTAGCTTGATGGTGTGCCTATGATTATTTTCTTTCTTTTACTCTAGCTTGATGGTGTGCCTATGATTATTACTAACTGGAGCTATGAAAACACAGGCATATTTAAGAGAACAGATTTCCCATTACGTGCCATGACCCGCCACACGATACAAAACAAGGAGTGTCTGTTTGGTGGTTTTGTGTCTGCTAGTACGACAAATATTGGCAACGCTATACCCCTAGGGTTTGACTACAAGGTACGTGCAATTTTTTTCGTGTTTTACATTATTTAATAGATACGTTTGATAGAGCTTGTTCTTGCTGATACGAAGAGCTAGAGACCATTTCTTGTCTAAAATACTTCGAATGTTTTATGAATACATAACAGTTCAGAAAATGTATACGGCACTTTTCTGTGATAAGTGGGTATTTTGATAGTTTTTGATAACTTCGAACTTTTTAGCATCTGATGCTAATCTAGCATCAGGTAAATTGTCGTCAGCTACGAGTAAAAAGAAACTGACAAGATGAATAAACATTTGTTAGAATAAAAACAACATGCAGCAAACAGATATAAGATATAACCGTTATAAAACTGGGTGTTGTCTGTAGAATATCTTTTTTTTATCAGGTGACAAATTTTACAAGTGATTGCCAGTTGATGACCGTGTCTACTGCTATCAGCCAGTACATAACCACACCTACTCAAGTCAGTCAGCAAATGACCACGCCTACTCCTACCAGCCAGCAGATAAACACGCCCTATACGCCTAGTCAGTCGACACCAGTTAAGCAATTGATGACCACAACTACTCCTGTCAGCCAGTTGATGACCACGCCCACTCAAGTCAGCCAGTTGATGACCTCGCCTACTCCTGTCAGCCAGTTGATGACCACGCCCACTCAGGTCAGCCAGTTGATGACCACGCCTACTCCAGTCAACCAGTTGATGACTACGCCTACTCCAGTCAGCCAGTTGATGAACACGCCTACTCCAGTCAGTCAGTTGATGACCACGCCTACTCCAGTCAGTCAGTTGATGGACACGCCTACTCCTATCAGTCGCTTGATGACCACGCCTTCTAGCCAACTTGAATCAACTAAATTGACCACGTCTACCGATACTCAACAAACGACAACATCAACAGCAACAAACAACGTTTTAGAGACTGATTTGCCTGCAGCAGACACCAAACTTTTTTTGCTGCCGTCAACTCAGAAATAAAACAATGTCGTTGTACATGCACAAATAAACAGACAACACCCAATATTACATTGAATGTACAAACTAAAGAAACACTCACAGTACAAATAAAAGAACGCCTCAACGTCCCAAAGACCAATCTGACAGCGACTTTACAAAGAAAAAACTCCATGGACAACACGAGCCCAAGTTCTCAAACTCTCGGCCAGGTCATCTGTATCTCGTGTCTGTGTCTGGTCTTTGGTGTTGTGGTGTTGGCTGATGTTGTTCAAACTTTTCGATTTCTGTATTCTATTTTACGTTCTTGGTACAGAAACATAACCAATGCGGATTAAATAAATTGATAAACTAGGTATATTTACAAGTCGCTATAGATTGTTGATTTTGGTGTTCTTTCTCGTATATCTAGTATAGAGGAAAACATTGTAATCGTGCAAAAACCCGAAATATAAATTAAACAAAGTTCTTCGTTTTTCACCTACATGACCTGGAAAGCTGGAAATTTCATATATAGGTATTATTTATCGAATCAGTAGCTCTGTCTTAACATTTGAGTGATTTCTGGTAAACGCTAGTGATATTTAATATACATCCGGTTTCTCAAAAAAAAAACACGATAAATACAGCACAGTTTACGTTGGAACTAGAAAACGTCACAAATAATTATAAAATAGTGTCTGCATATGATGCTTTTTTTTTCTTTAGTGTTTGCGTGATGCGTTTGTGTTTTGGTTAATGTTTGCGTTTGCATTGTGTTTGTGTTGTGTTTTCTTTTGTGTTTATGTTTTCTTTTATGTTTGTGTTGTGTTTACGTTGTGTTTGTGTTTAGTTTTGTTCTGTTCATAAGTTGGTACATTTTAAAAGATTTACCGTGGCGGAGCACGAGTATGTAGCTATATATATATATATATATATATATATATATATATATATATATATATATATATATATATATATATATATATATATATTGCTATTTTTATCCATTTCAATCTTCATCACATAACTTATTTCTACCTTTAGTTAACTGGACTGTCTATCGACAAAATCTATATGTCGTAATAGATCGAAACGGGCGCCCGAAATTTTGAACAATTTTAACCGACCAATTTCTCTGAAATTCGTCACGTGGGTCAAGATGCAATGCAATATGACATTAGAGTCGACTTAATTGACTTAATTGACTTAATACTTGTGCTTCTCTTGCAGCACTATTATACGCGCGATATCAAGTTCAATTTGTGCGCAATAGTTTTCACGCTCTTATATTGTAAATAAAATGAACCGGGAGTGATCTGCCCTTAACTTGCCCGAATCTTCTTATATCACACTACGGGAGATGGCAACTCGGGATATAAACGTGATTTTTACAAGCTTTTATTAATCTATTTTTATTTACCTAAACTTTTAAAAATATAATAGAATCTCGTAGAAAAAAGAATTGTGCACCAAGTGACGCCAAACAAAATGTGTATAAAAGTGCGATATATTATTAGTACTTTATAAATTCACCTGTGTTTTTTGTTTTTTTGAAATCGGAAATAGCTGAAATTACTACTTCTTTTCATCAGAAATTACTCAAAATTTGATAGAAAAGGGAAAATTAGATTTTTTTATTTACATGTGAAATTTCATTTATCTATATGAAATAGTACTCAAGTTATAGGCTTTTGAAAAATTGAAAGTAGAAAAATTCTCACTTCCGGTTAGCGGAAATTGCTGAAAAGTTGATACACAACTACAATTTTGATATAATACTTAGGCTATATATTAAATTTCATCAACCTAGTTGTAACGGTACTCAAGTTACTGTGTTCACACACACACACACACATACACAGACATGCGGACAGAATTGTAGAACTCAGTTTTTCCGACTCAATTACGCATAAAACGCCTAAATTTTGATAAATCTAGATTTATTATTTTTGACCGATTAAAATAAGTCCCCTATAGGCCTACTTAGTATATGATGAAGTACTGTGGTGTAAAACGATGAAAACTGTCAACATTCCTTGTCATTTTGTGCATTATTGCAATACTTCCTCTATACTTTGTATAAGAGAAAGTAAAAAAGTAAAGTACTGAAATTCTTATCTGTTTAGTAATTTAAATAGAAATGTAGAATTATATATTTTTAAAAAAATCATTTATTGTTTTCATTTTTAGTTTATTATTAAATAAAAGCATGTTATTAAAACGTTTATTATTATTTTTTATTAATAAGTTCAATAGAATCGGGAGAGCGCTAAGAATATTTCCAAGAACATGCATTCACTGAATAAAGAAACAGATATTTTAAAAAAAAAAGGTGTTCAATTTTTGGTTGAGTTAAAATAGTTTGGCATTTTCGACCCACGACAAATAGATACAAGTTGACTTATATTAGGGGCAAGCACTCGGTGTAAATCAGGTCCAAATATTTTCGCAGTTATCATCGCCAGAGCTGACTGGTCGAATCTGTAAAAACAAAAAAATGAAGTGTTTATATATATACATATATATATATATATATATATATATATATATATATATATATATATATATATATATATATATATATATATATATATATATATATATATATATATATATATATATATATATATATATATATATATATATATATCAATGTATGTATGTTTGTATTTTATCCATTGCTACACCTTTCATCGGATCGCCATAAAACTTTTGGAAGTTGTTGAGAATACTCCTGTAGAGGTATCTGTGGATAAATGTTTCAAATTCGCAGGGATGGTGGCCCTCAATACACGGTATGTATAAAAAATAAAAGTCGGATGCTGTATGACACCGTTCATCCAAATGCCATGAAACTTTGGGGAGTAGATGAGAATACGCACGATAAGATTTCTGCGGGAAAAAAACATTAAAAGATTACTTATGGGCAGTGGCCGGTATGGTGCAATTTTGGTCAATACACGATTTGGCGCACTGAGTTCCAGAGCGGTTAACTGGGCACTTTGCATCCTTTAATCAGGTGTCTTGTCTAGCGAGTGAGAGGTTCTGCTAAATTCAGCGGTAAAATTGCAACATGCACAACCGCCGACGCACAGTGCTCCCCTGCTAGCATTATGGCGCCGAAGTGTATATATATATATATATATATATATATATATATATATATATATATATATATATATATATATATATATATATACATATATATATATATATATATATATATATATATATATATATATATATATATATATATATATATATATATATTCAAACAATAACAATTAAAATGCCTTCATCAACATTTAAACTTTTAGGCCCCAAAGTTGATCTCAACTGACCTGTGACATCTGTGATACTTGTACTCGCCAGAACACAACTTGACCGTTTTAGGTGGGATAACCGGACACATGCACTGTGGCTCAATGGCACACCTAGCCCATGGCTCCATAATTGCCCGGATGTTAAAGCTGTCCTTCCTGTACACGGAGAGGCCTGAAAGGATCTGAGGGAATATGTCGAAGGCACAAGGCTCCTCCCCAAAGTAGTTGAAAGTCTGATCATAAAAAGGCAATGTTAGTATACTAGTCGTACCAAGTTATTAAAGTTTATATAACAGTAATTTAAAATCCATCCTCACCTCATCTATGAACGCCAAATAATATGTGCACAAGAGTGCGGAATATTATTAGTATTCTATAAATTCACATGTGTATTTTTGAGAAATCGGAAATAGCGTAAATTACTACTTCCGGTCGACGGAAATTACTCAAAATTTAATAGGAGGCAGATAATTATATCTTTTACCTACATGTGAAATTTCATTATCTGTCTAAAATAGTACTAAAATTATAGGCTTTTGAAAAATTCAAAGTAGAAAAAGTTCCACTTCCGATAATCGGAAATCGCTCAAAAGTTAGATACGGATTTACGATTTTGATATAATACTTATAAATGAAATTTCATCAATCTAGCTGTAACGGTACTCAAGTTATCGTGTTTACAGACACACACACACAGGCACACAGACACACATAAACACACACATACATACGGAAAAGATTGCAAAACTATGTTTTTCCGACTCAGGGAACCCTAAAACGTCAATATTTAAAAAAAAATATCGATTTTCTTTGCACGATTACAAGACTTTCTCTATATTTCAGATATACGAGAAAGTAAAAATTGATCGAAGTGGAAAGTATCTGGAAAGTTTGAACGAAATTGCTGCATTAGAAGTGGTCAAAGCTGAGTTACAATAATTGCCACAAACCCACAAACAAATAAACAAGGTTGCAAACTAAATAGAAGATTGGAAAAAGAATACCTTTTTTCTTATTTCAAGTAAATTAAATGTTACTATTTAGGTTTTTTAATACTTGTTCTATACATTACTTATAAATACTTAATGCATAATGCTTGACAGTGAATTTTAAATAACCCCAAGTACCACGTAGTGGTAGTTCACTTTCCAAAACAACAGTGGTACCTTGAGGTACGAGTTTATTTCGTTCCTTAATATGGCTAGGATGTCAAATTGTTCGTATCTCAAATCATTTAAGTGAAATATAAGTGAAATGCATTTAATCTACTTCAATTCCTAAAATGCCACGCGATTTGTTTGATTCTAAATTTAGTGTATTCTTTACTGTTCTAAATAAAGAAGTTTATCGGCTATTCTTAAAAGAAGAAATTCACAAAAAAAACAACGTATTGTCACATCAACAACAACGTATTGTTACATTGGTGTCACAAGTGGTCAACATTAATAAACGATTGTGAATGTGTGACGAGGTACGTAAGGATATGGTGTCTGCGCTTGGGTCTACTTGCTGGAAAAAATATATGAAATCAGTCTTTGTGCTGCTGTGCTAATAAGTATTCGTCCGTCGTCGTGAATATATTCTTCTTCGTATACGTTGTGAAAGTGGTCGTCCTTGTGTATTTAGACGTGCAATAAACCAAGGAATGAACCAATGCGGTCCAGTTCAATCATTCATATTAGATCGTTATTGTCTATAGATGTACGTTGTCACACAAGGTCGACCCCGTCCCAAACTCGCATCGCGAGAGTGTTGCCCCTAATTCCTCCCGCCTCCACACACACATACCTATTTCTTTAATGCTGGCTTTCATATGCATAGTACAGCTGATGAAAAATGCACCAAAATTCCGTAAAATCTGTGACGTCATCGAGACCGTATTGACACTTTTATAATATATTTCTTGTAAGAAATACTACGTGACGGTGTGTGTCTGGGGGTGGGGGGACAGGATTGAGAAAGTCGTACACCCGGCTCACCTGTATGAGAGTATGCAAGGGTATCCGGACCTTGCCATCCACCCGGAAGATTTGGACTCCAATGTCCCACCCCCTGTCTAACACCTGTTGGATGCGGTCTGTCCATCTGATGGAGGCGTCTTGGTAAACAAGAAGTCTCCTAGCTTTTTCAAAAGCAGCCTGTGAAGTGGGGACACATGAATAAAACCATGGATACAAGTAACTTTAAATAATCTAATATGCAGTTTTATGGTTTTTTTAGTTATGTAGACGCAGCTTCTAAGAAAAGTATTTCAAATGTACGTATAGCATTATGTGTAAGCAAGTAGGCTCTAGGAACTCTACCCTCTTTGTATGAGTCATCAGAAAAGTACAAACTAACATATATCTTTTTCAAATGATTTAGAAAATGTATACTTTTTTTAGTTTATGTTTAGAGTTGTGGCTATATTACAGAAATATGTATGACGCCTCCCCAACCGTATTCCGTGCTGCTTTGATCACTTGGTGAAGGTCTGAACTCTTCATGTTATCGAATGTGTGATGCCTATTTCAAACAACGATACTATTTAGTAATGAGAGTTGCTTTTGTAGATGTTCCTTACTCCGTCTATAGTTTTCGGTGGTTGTATCTAGTTTTCCATGTTGCTTTTTGATGGGGTTTGTCTGGTCCTAGAACTTTTAGAATCGTGCGACTGGGTCAATGAGTAAGCGTTTAAACTTTCATTATTATTCAAGGGATGGTGGCTGGTGGCTAGACTTCAAAAGTGGCAGTGGGAGCACGATCACTCGGGTCTCGTCTTGTTATTACTTTATGATCTTGAGCTTTAGTCCCCTTGGTTTGAAGCTTTGAGCTCTACCTCTCTATCATTCGTCCACCACCATCTTTTCTCGAGACAAATAGGGCAGACCAAGTAGAGTATATGAAGGCATAGTGTGTTCAGCACTTTATTTCTCTCACATGAGTTGGGTACCCATCAGAGCTAGTTGAACATTATACTGACTTGAACCCTGATTCGAGACTTTCCAGTTAGCAGTCAAGCTCTTTATCGCTGGGCCACGCCGTCCCTCTACCACACGCATACACCAAAAGAAAACGTAATGTCCTCTAATGACTAAACTTGTTAACGATATTGTAAACGGTAGCTTACTCTTATCAGCAGAGGTTTCCAAGCATAGCAATGTAATTCTCTGACGTGGGCTGGAAAATTTTCATAGGGAAAAGTCACAACTCGACACCGGCAGTGTTTTTCTGTCTGGGTTAAAAGACATAAAACACTTGGTTAAATACATTTCAACGTCGGTTCCCAGAAAAATGCGCAATCGGAAAACTGCACAACGAGAAACTGGCGAAAATAAACACTGATCATAATAATACACTTTATTTTTGTCTCATTCTTGGAAATGTTTTATTATGCTACAATGTAGATCTACATGTGGTCATTGCTTTTTATTGTATATAAATGCTCGATTAAAGAAAACAAAAATGTCTTTGCGCACTTTCCTGTGCGCAGTTTTCTAATTCGCAGTTTTCCGTTGCGCATCTTTCCGGTGACCTCCAACGACCAGCATGTATCAAGCTTCGAGAAAACATAAAATTTCTGATTCTCATATCAAACTTTTCCATGGTTTGAGTGATGCCGCATTTTCAATTCGGGCATGTTTAACGCAGCAACTAGTTAAAACTAGGTAGTTAGCACTTGCTAATTCCAGTCAACAAGTCAGCGAGGGGTCAGTTATGTTATAACTCAGAGACATGTAATCAACCATGCAAGCTGAAGACAGTGAAGGTCCCATTTGTAAACATTCAAAAATGCATCGAGGTCTCCTTGAAAGTGCCAACTTTATATTTATAATTGTACTCAAAGAGTACCCGACTATAAAACACTTGTTTTTTTTAACTGTACTCTTATACAAGGTTAGGTACTTAATTGTTCATATATGCTAGCACTCAAAAGGGTACGTGGTAGTTACACTTCTTAAGGCGTGGACTACGCTTCTCCAACGAACTCAATATCTAGAAAAACCTAAACTCCCACGTTGTAGCATCACCCATGTCCTTTCTACTGATCTACCTCAAGTGACTAGGTTCTAACTCATTCACTAGCTTTCTGTGGTTTTCAATCTCATAAATTTATCTGGTTTGCGTAAGTTATAACCCATCTATGTACATCTTTTCGTAGCGATTATATCATTAAGTAATTTTTATATTCCAAATAAGTGTGTATTTAAACCTTTGACAAAGCCCCATCGACTCACCATGATCCTCTGCTCCTCTGTTAAACCAATGTCGAAGAGAACAACGGTGAAATTGTTGACACGAGGATACACCGTCTTGTGCAGGCTATAGAACATGTCCTGCATCTCGTCGTAGTGATTGGAGGAGCTGGCGGACACGAAGATGACGTCACTCTCAGGGATGGCCTGGCCCATGGAGAGAATCAAACGACGCTGATGTTCGGAGAGCGTCAGGTTTGGTGACGTCAGAATGTCCAGCAACCGGGTCTCGGGGTCAGGGTTCAAAGGTCGTGTACAGTTTGATATGCAAGCACCTGTTCAATACATATTATTCAAAATACTATTCATACCTAACCTAACCTAACCTAACCTAACCCACCCAACCCAACCTAACCAAACCAAACCAAACCAAACCAAACCTAACCTTAACTAACGTAACCTAATCTAACCTAACCTAACCTAACCTAACCTAACCTAACCTAACCTAACCTAACCTAACCTAACCTAACCTAACCCAACCTAACCTAACTTAACCTAACCTAACCTAAATTACCATGGATTGATAGTTTAATAGTTACGATGCGGGTTGTACGGGTTTGAGACACATCATGTCAATGTTTGTTTGTTTTCTTTTGGTTTTTTTTTGTCTTTTAGATGTGAATGATAGAGTTGTCTATCGGGAGTTGGCGGGATACGGGACAGATGAAGCAGAGTTCATCTGTTTCTTTGTTCTTAGTATATGAAGGTATAGTGTGGTCAGAACCATGCTCAGCCGAAATCTTTTTAAAAGACAATAACATGTTGCCTGAGGTGTGACGTCTTTTTGAATGTGGGGTCTGGCTTTTTTTTTAATTTGTGTGAAAGTTGGAAGGGAAGAAATGATAAAACTCATCAAACAAACTCGACGTCATTTATGGATGACGCCCAAAACACACGGTTATTCAAGAATAACGGGTAGTCTCGTAAATACTAAAAACACCGCGATATAAAACATATACTTTTCAAACCTGACTGTCTATAGAGCAAGTGAAGTAGAGTTCACTTGTTTCTGTGTAAAATAAACCGGGAGTGATCTCCCCTAAACTTTCTCGAATATTCTTATATAACTTGGAATATAGACATGATTTTTAATTACTTAAACTTTTAAAAATAGAATAGAATCTCATAGAAAAAAGAATTGCGCACCAAGCGAAGGCCAAAACAAAATGTGTATAATAGTGCGCAATATTATTAGTACTTTATAAATTTACATGCGTTTTTTTAGAAATCGTAAATCGCTCAAAATTTGATACGGATCTACGATTTTGATAAAATACGTATAAATGAAATTTCAATAACCTAGCTGTAACGGTACTCAAGTTATCGTGTTTACACACACAGACACACACACACAGACAGACACACAGACATACGGACAAGATTGCAAAATTATTTTTTTCCGTATCAGTGAGATGTAAAACGTCGAGATTTGCAAAAATCTCGATTTTTTTGCACGATTACAAGACTTTCACTATACTTCGTATATACGAGAAAGTAAAAAAATACTGGAAACCATATTTTACATAAAATTTAAATACACTTGACCGGCTTGCCAGCTTGGAATACAACTTCTCCAGGCAAGAAATAAGCTACAAACATTTTTTAAACTCGTTAATATCAGGCAACAATAAATGTGCTTGGGCGTTTTTTTGTGATTTGTTTTCTCATAATGGATATACCTTACAATGAAATTACTAGGATAGGAAATAATTTAATTTCAAATTGTAATATATATATATATATATATATATATATATATATATATATATATATATATATATATATATATATATATATATATATATATATATATATATATATATATATATTGGAGACATAAGACAATTTCTGCTGGGGAGCCTTGATTTATCTAGTTACGCCACTATTTACATAAAAGTATACAAAAACTTCATCGGAAAGTTTAGCGAGTAGGGATTGAACAAGCCTACTGTATACCTTGTGATTCGTTACTGCAGGTGGCAGTGTATAAGATCCGCTTCATGTCCGTGTCTTTCGAGATTATTTCGTGAAGTCGTGCGATCGAATCCCCGATAGTCGCATCGTACAGCATGGCATTGATCACTGGTACGTAAAAAAAAAACAGTTTAAAACTTTTTTTATATCGTCCGAATTGTAGGACATACTTTATGTGTTACTCTTAAAAGAAACTGGTTGGTTTGGTGTTTACTTAACCCCTATCCTAGGGACAGACCATATCAAAAGTTTTTAAAAAAGATGTTTCTATTGATTGGGGCCTATGACACAGTCACAGCCCTTGTAACCATTTGTACCTGTTTTCAGACTATAAAATCTTTGTTTTATAACATCTCTCGCTCTGGTTTTTAATCTCTTAAATTTATCTGGTTTACGTAACATATAACCCATCTATCCACATCTTTTCGTAACGAGTATATCATAAAGTATATATATATATATATATATATATATATATATATATATATATATATATATATATATATATATATATATATATATATATCATCTTCATGATGTTGTAGTTACCTTTTGAAGAAATGAAGTAGCTCATGTTCCTGAGCGAGAGAAACTGGTACAGTAGAATCACAGTAAAAACTAGACTGGTACCGACTACTGCACTGACGGCTGAAAGTATTACCGAAAAAAAGAATTAACCCATAAACAATATTTTTTTTGCTTTAAATATGTAATTCGTCATTTTAAAAAAAAAGGTTTTAGTTAATTTATATTTCATGTAGAAAACGTTTTTCATATTCCGTCCAACATACTTTCCTTGGAAAATAAATTTAGTTTCATGGTAAGATATTTTAAACTAACACACAAAAAACGTGGTTTTATAATTTATTGTATTTAAAAAAATTGAATTCCCATTTCGGAAAATAAGTAGGCTATACGCAACAACTTGTCAAACAATGGCCTAAGGAGAAACCGAAAAAAAATCTGTATTCTAAAACCAACAGCTATTAATTTTTCCCGCATTTAGCCTTGAGTTATCAATGTCAACACCTGATGACGGTAAAGAAAACGGTGTTGACGCATTAAAGAACAGATTAAAGATGGGAAAGAACTGCGATAAAAGTCATAACTTATTGGATTTTAATATTGATATTAGGCTTTTGTACATTTAGTTATAGAGACTGCTGATGATAAAACAGTACACACTTACCCCCCCTCCCCCTAAATAACCTTCTCTTAAATATGCTTATTAGCTGACATCCTATAATTTAAGTTATAACCTCCAATTTTATAAAAAACTAAAGTTTATTGATTTATTGGTTATAAAAAGTTTAAATCTTTACCAAAACCTAAACCTAAATATAAACATAAACCTAAACTTAAAGCTAAAAATAAACCTAAGCGTAAATATAAACCTAAACTTAAGCCTAAGTGTAAATCTAAAACTAAAATTAAAACTTAAAGTAAAACCAACCCTTAACCAAAAACTGAACCTTATCTAATAGATATATTGCAATACCTTTACAGTTTACGCTACCGTTTCAAAAATACATATTTTCAATTTCACAAACCTAGCCACACTAAGTGACCCATCGATATTGATATTCTAGCTTGATCTGGGGCTTGTTTGTCACAGATATTTGTTACTTTTTAAAACCTGACATTAAAGATCATTTCTCAATGTCCTGTTTACTAGACAAAAAATCAATACATGTCGTTATTTTTTAACACTGAATTGTTGCATGGTTAATTCAATAGTAGAAAGCTCGGAGGCTTATTTTCACATTGGCCGTTTTAAAATAAACAAATAAAACAACAATTTAATAACAGCATTTAAAAAAGCAATAGCATAGTAACGACATAGCAGTAACACAGCACTAAAATGTGGAATAAAGAAATAATATTACATATTGATAATACAAGATGAGATAAAATAAGAATATAATAGATGAATGAGAAATGATTCAATTAGCCAGTTAGAGAGGTCATTAAATAATTGTTGTTTTAGTTTAGTTTTGAATATATTTTCAGATCTAGATAGTTTCGTTTTATTAGGAAGATTGTTTCACAAATTAGAACCAGAGTAGTATGACATTATGTTGTCAATTCCAATTTGTCCACACATTTAATACTCATTTTTTAAATTTTTAACGTAGTAATATGAATAGGGCTCGTATTAACTGGGCGGAAGCCAAGTTGTATAGTAGTCACCTCTTTCTTGTGTCCTTCAGCTGTGTGGAGATAGGCGGGGTCTTATCCATGGTTTTATATTTGTCCCTTCTCATTTTAGGCGTTGTGCTTGCATTTCCTAGACGCAATAATCCATTATAGACATTTTATTTATTTGGAAATAACAGTATGTTTTTTTTTTAAATCTATTATCAATTAATTGATTTTCATTTTTCACTTCAATCAAAAATAAAAGGATAGATATTTGAGACATTGACTTAAGTATTCGATTTTCCAATCAATTTAATATTTAATAAAAACATGCATTTTGTATTTGGTTATTCTTTTTTTTAAGTGAAAGTGTTAAGTGATACTAAGTTACACGGGGAGAAGGTGGTGAGAGATGGAGAGTGATAATCGATTATTTTCAGCTATGGAGCAGAGGTGAATCTGGGGGGGGGGGGGATTAAAGCTCATTTAAACTGCAATTTTTAATTATAAACATAGTTAAGAAATTTAACGGCTACGAGCTTTTGCATAGTGATTTAACTATTTTCTACCTTGATTGGGTAACTGTAAAACATATACCCTTAAGAAACCGGGGTGCTTTATTTTTGTGACTAAAGTCAAAAGGATATACACTGGAACGTGTAAGTAAATGAATTACTTAACACTTAAAATGGAAATCAATTATAGTAACGCTTACTATACGATTTCTCTAGCCAGTTTTGACAAGACGCGACTAGTTCTTTGTACGATTTTTACTTGATAATTTTACATGATTTTATTTTGTCTTGCATGTTAGCCAACTGATGACAACGCCTACCCCTGTAATTAGTTTGGTGACAATAAAAACATGCCTACCTCAGTCAGCTAGCTGATTTCACAGAAAACTGCTGAATGCAATCTGATGACCACGCCTACCCATGTCAGTAAACTGATGACCACGCCTACAGTGTTTCTTCCAGACTTTTTTCTCCGGGGGGGGCGCTTGAAATCTTCGGGGGGGCGGTAAACTTTCTTCGGGGGGGCGGACACTGTTAAAAGTATATATTTTCTATATAAAATATATAAATTTCATTTCGTTCGGGGGGGCGGTAAAAATTTTTCGGGGGGGCTTCGCCCCCCCGAAGAGATGCCTGGAAGAAACTCTGCACGCCTACCCACCTTAGCCTGTTGATGAATACGCCTACTGATGCTAAGCAATTGGTGACCACACCTACTCATGTCAGTAAACTTATAACCACGCCTTTTGCCATCAGTCAATAATCCCTGCTACTCCTACAGTCAGGTAATGACCACGCCTACCCCTGTAAACCAGCTTATAAGCACGCCTATTCCTATCACGTCATCTAATCAGCTTGAATCAACTAATTTGACCACGCAAACTGATACTCAACAAACGATATCATCAAAAGCAGCAAACAGCGTTTCAGAAACTGACCTACCTGCAGCAGACACCAAGCTTTTCGCTGCCCTCAACTCAGAATTAAAACAATGTCGTTGTACATGTACAAATAAACAGATAACACCCAATATCACATTGAATGTACAAACTAAAGAAACCCTCACAGTACAAATAAAAGAACGCCTCAACGTCCCAAAGACCAATCTGACAGCGACTTTACAAAGAAAAAACTCCATGGACAACACGAGCCCAAGTTCTCAAACTCTCGGCCAGGTCATCTGTATCTCGTGTCTGTATCTGGTCTTTGGTGTTGTGGTGTTGGCTGATGTTCTTCAAACTTTTCGATTTATGTATTCTATTTTACGTTCTTGCTATAAACACAAAATCAAAATGGTTTGTGAAAACAATCTCCGAGATATGTTTTTTTTTTCAATTCATTTGCAGTTTTGCAGCGACGTTAAATGTTTCATACCGTATTAATTAAATGTCTAAATTAGTAAAGATACTGTTTGGAATAAAATGTAGTTCTGAAAAATTAAAATACATATTCGCCAATAACCTTTGCCATTTCTAATTCGGAAAACAGTAAAGTAAAAGGGAGACAACGCAATGAAAGTTACAGAGCTATACATTTTAATAATTTTTAAAACAGGTGTTTACAAACATTGGCATGAATCGAATAAAACAATTAAATAATATTGTTATTTAGAAAATATTAAAATATAAGTATGTACTAAAGCTAATATACATTAAAATGTTCTCGTTTTTTTAATATGAAAACAGTGACTTAAATGTATACTTTTTTCTGTAAATAATGATTTATTCGTCTTTTCAATGTTAAAATCATGGCGTTGTCGGTACGAATATAATTTAAAGATAAAATATTTATTTTAAGTAAAGAGTTCAAATGGTCACGTATCCCACAAAAGTAATGAAAATAAACCGGGAGTGATCTCCCCTAAACTTTCTCGAATATTTTCATATTACTTGGAATATAGACATGATTTTTAATTACCTAAACTTTTAAAAATAGAATAGAATCTCATACAAAAAAGAATTACGCATCAAGCGAACGCCAAAACAAAATGTGCATAATAGTGCGCAATATTATTAGTACTTTATAAATTTACACGCGTTTTTTGAGAAATCGGAAATAGCGTAAATTAGTACTTCCGGTAAACAGAAATTACTCAAAGTTTGATATAAGGTAGAGAATTAGATCTTTTACTTACATGTAACTTTTCATTTATCTATCTGAAATAGTACTCAAGTTATAGGCTTTTGAAAAATTCAAAGTAGAAAAAGTACCACTTCCGGTTATCGGAAATCGCTCAAAAGTTGATAAGGATTTACGATTTTGATAAAATACTTATATATGAAATTCCATCAACCTAGCTGTATCGGTATTCAAGTTATCATTTTTACACACACAGACACACACAGAGACACACAGACATACGGACAAGATTTGCAAAATTATGTTTTTCCGTATCGGTTTGGTGTAAAACGTCGTGATTTGTATAAACCTCGATTTTTTTTATTTTTTTTTTGCACGATTACAAGACTTTCTCTATACTTCGTATATACGAGAAAGTAAATAATTATCATTAAAAATAAATAAAAAAACATGTTTTCTGATTGAACTAAAAAATAGCAGAAGAGGGAAAGTACCGAACCTTGTTTTTATCAAATTACAATTACTAGGTTATGTCCCTTTTTAGTACAAATCAATAGGCGTTTAAATGATCAATAAAATTTTTCCAATGATCAATTTAGTAATAATAATAATTGAATATTGTATTGTCATCGGAAACAAAGCTTCCATAAAAATTTCAGCGCGCTAGCTAACTGGGAAGTGCCCGAAATTTCGATCGCAAGATTTGATAGAAAGACAAACAAACAAACAAACAGACGCGAAAGCAAGTTAAAGAAAACGTGGGAAAATGGAAAAAAAAAACAAAAATAAAACGATAACATATTTATTAAAACTATAATTATAAGCCATAAGAAAAATTACTATTGTAAATCTGTACAATCCTCACAAGTCGATGAAGAAAACTGTTACACTAAAGCGAACATGCAAGGCAAACTGACGCTGTAAATTACATGTCTGAGGCAAAAAAAAGGAGAATTAAAAAAAAAAGAAAAATTAGTAAATTTCATGTGACACTCAGAAACAATATGATAGCATTGGAAGGAACTGACTGGTCACTTGACATTCAGCTGACCGTAGGTCAAGGTTAAAAAAAAGGGTGTTTATCAGCCTACCGTGTAGGACACAGTTGAATGTCAAAAAGCAGTTGGAGATAAGAGTACAGTTACGAATAATTTGATATGTGCCTATATTTGAATGAACTGAGAAAGAGTACAGTTAGGAATAATTTGTTGTGTGTCTTTTTTTGAATGAACTGAGATAGAGTACAGTTAGGAATAATTTGTTGTGTGTCTTTATTTGAATGAACTGAGATAGAGTACAGTTAGGAATAGCTTGTTGTGTGTCTTTATTTGAATGAACTGAGATAGAGTACAGTTAGGAATAGTTTGTTGTGTGTCTTTATTTGAATGAACTGGGATAGAGTACAGTTAGGAATAATTTATTGTGTGTCTTTATTTGAATGAACTGAGATAGAGTACAGTTAGGAATAGCTTGACGTGAGATGTGAATAAACCGTAATATGATTTGAACTTGTCATTCTGCCGTTGTGTTGTAAACTGGAGTAATATTACAGGCCTTAACAAAGCTAAGTGAAGAAGAAAGTCGATGACCTGACACATATATAATAAAACCTTAGACTTCTCCCACCACACTGTGGTTGTTGGGTATGTTTCAGCAAGAAGATAAGTTGTAACAAAACGGTTTTTGTTCCCACTGTTGGTGTATGGCTTGCAGGAAAATGATCCCATGTTGCTACAAGTTCGAGTAATCCAAGGAAATAGCCATTGAGAGTAGAACACACTGGTTCATTATCTGATCTGAGAGGTAATCTATGTTTTTAATTAGTAATTATTATTGTCACAACTCATTCAAAAACACTTTCCAGTACTGTCGTATTTTATTTATCTGTTCACTTTTCCTATTTGTTGACACTGCTATGATGCATGAAAGTCTAAGACCCCCCCCCCCACACACACATGCATCATAGTAATAAACAGCTTTGTTGAATTGTTTCCTCGCTTGTATTAGGCGTTGTAGACATAAGACATTAGAGTATTTGTCTTATTCTCAATGAGAAATCAGAAAAATAATAGCCTAAATAATAATTAGTCCTCCTCATGTAACTTAAAAGAATCACGTGTTTGGTACCATAGAGTCAATGTGGCTCATAGTACCACGGGGTCACTGTGGCCCATAAGAACACGGGATCAGTGGGGCCCATAGTACCACGGGGTAAGTGTGGCCCATAGTACCACGGGGTCAGTGTGGCCAATAGTACCACGGGGTCAGTGTGGCCCATAGTACCACGGGGTCAGTGTGGCCCATAGACCATAGAGTCAGTGTGGCCTATAGTACCACGGGGTCAGTGTGGCCCATAGTACCACGTGGTCAATGTGGCCCATAGTACCACGTGGTCAGTGTGGCCCATAGTACCACGGGGTCAGTGTGGCCCATAGTACCACGTGGTCAGTGTGGCCCATAGTACCACGGGGTCAGTGAGGCCCATAGTACCATAGAGTCAGTGTGGCCCATAGACCATAGAGTCAGTGTGGCCCATAGTACCACGTGGTCAGTGTGGCCCATAGTACCACGGGGTCAGTGTGGCCCATAGTACCACGGGGTAAGTGTGGCCCATAGTACCACGGGGTCAGTGTGGCCTATAGTACCACGGGGTCAGTGTGGCCTATAGTACCACGGGGTCAGTGTGGCCCATAGTACCACGGGGTCAGTGTGGCCCATAGTACCACGGGGTCAGTGTCGCCCATAGTACCACGGGGTCAGTGTGGCCCATAGACCATAGAGTCAGTGTGGCCTATAGTACCACGGGGTCAGTGTGGCCCATAGTACCACGTGGTCAGTGTGGCCTATAGTACCACGGGGTCAGTGTGGCCTATAGTACCACGGGGTCAGTGTGGCCCATAGTACCACGGGGTCAGTGTGGCCCATAGTACCACGGGGTCAGTGTGGCCCATAGTACCACGGGGTCAGTGTGGCCCATAGACCATAGAGTCAGTGTGGCCTATAGTACCACGGGGTCAGTGTGGCCCATAGTACCACGTGGTCAATGTGGCCCATAGTACCACGTGGTCAGTGTGGCCCATAGTACCACGGGGTCAGTGTGGCCCATAGTACCACGTGGTCAGTGTGGCCCATAGTACCACGGGGTCAGTGAGGCCCATAGTACCATAGAGTCAGTGTGGCCCATAGACCATAGAGTCAGTGTGGCCCATAGTACCACGTGGTCAGTGTGGCCCATAGTACCACGGGGTCAGTGTGGCCCATAGTACCACGGGGTAAGTGTGGCCCATAGTACCACGGGGTCAGTGTGGCCTATAGTACCACGGGGTCAGTGTGGCCTATAGTACCACGGGGTCAGTGTGGCCCATAGTACCACGGGGTCAGTGTGGCCCATAGTACCACGGGGTAAGTGTGGCCCATAGTACCACGGGGTCAGTGTGGCCAATAGTACCACGTGGTCAGTGTGGCCTATAGTACCATAGAGTCAGTGTGGCCTATAGTACCATAGTGTCAGTGTGGCCCATAGTACCACGGGGTCAGTGAGGCCCATAGTACCACGGGGTAAGTGTGGCCCATAGACCATAGAGTCAGTGTGGCCTATAGTACCACGGGGTCAGTGTGGCCTATAGTACCACGGGGTCAGTGTGGCCCATAGTACCACGGGGTCAGTGTGGCCCATAGTACCACGGGGTCAGTGTGGCCAATAGTACCACGTGGTCAGTGTGGCCTATAGTACCATAGAGTCAGTGTGGCCTATAGTACCATAGTGTCAGTGTGGCCCATAGTACCACGGGGTCAGTGAGGCCCATAGTACCACGGGGTCAGTGTGGCCCATAGTACCACGGGGTACGTGTGGCCCATAGACCATAGAGTCAGTGTGGCCTATAGTACCACGGGGTCAGTGTGGCCTATAGTACCACGGGGTCAGTGTGGCCCATAGTACCACGGGGTCAGTGTGGCCCATAGTACCACGGGGTCAGTATGGCCCATAGTACCATAGTGTCAATGTGGCCCATAGTACCACGGGGTCAGTGTGGCCCATAGTACCACGGGGTCAGTGTGGCCCATAGTACCACGGGGTCAGTGTGGCCCATAGTACCATAGAGTCAGTGTGGCCCATAGTACCACGGGGTCAGTGTGGCCCATAGTACCACGGGGTCAGTGTGGCCCATAGTACCACGGGGTCAGTGTGGCCCATAGTACCATAGAGTCAGTGTGGCCTATAGTACCACGTGGTCAGTGTGGCCCATAGTACCACGTGGTCAGTGTGGCCCATAGTACCACGGGGTCAGTGTGGCCCGTAGTACCATAGAGTCAGTGTGGCCCATAGTACCATAGAGTCAGTGTGGCCCATAATATTATAGTTTCAGTGTGGCTCATTGTGAAAGACTAGAACAACATCAACTGATTATGTTGTTTATCTTTATATAATAAGATATGACAATGTGTTATCACGTCAAAATAAATATTGCACACTTTTATGGATGAGTTTTAGGTTATTTGAACCCGCTGTCAGAAAATGTTATTGTTGGCTTTGATTGCGTACTGGCTTGGTATATTGATTTATGATTACACACTACACAGTTGTTTTGATGAACATCAATATTATCCGGTATTGTTGATGGTAAAGTTTTTCATAATAAAAGAGGGATCATCCATAGAGGACGACGTACATTTTTTAGAAGATTAAATCATGTTATAATTATATTAAGTTCAGTAGGAAAAGGAGAGAGAGAGAGTAAAAAAAAAATTAATTTCGTGAATGTTGCTATAGTTCTAGAATGCACACAATAACAAGTAGTTGTTTTTTTTTTAAAAAAAGGTGTTTAATGTTTGGTCGAATTAAAATAATCAGGCTTCCTTGACCCACGGTTGACGCCGAGAAATCGAGAAAAATCGGGAGCAAGCACTCGGTATATTTCAGGACCAAATATCTTCGCAGTTATCATTCCTAATGCTGACTGATCAAATCTGTGTTTTAAAATGACATGATCACTTTTGCTACACGTCACATACACATACACACACACACTTATATATATATATATATATATATATATATATATATATATATATATATATATATATATATATATATATATATATATATGGTGACAGGACAAATGATCTCAGGACAAATGATCTCAGGACAAATGATCTCAAGGACAAATGATCTCACGGACAAAAGATACCAGGACAACATATATCAGGACAAATGATATCATGGACAAATGATCTCAGACAAAATATCTCAGACAAAATACCTCACAACAAAATTTTAATAGGGTATTGGATGATTTTAGTTGATCTGAACATTTTTTTATTGACTGTCATATGGTATTGTTTACCATATTTAATATTGTTTATAGGCTTATATAATTTTAAGAAATGTTTGCTGCATAAATTTGCCATATTGCACTAATAATTTTAAAATTAGGATTACTAATATAGTATGCGAAGATTAAAGAAATTACTCGATAGACAACGTAGGTGGGCTTGCCAAACATGAGACAATCCTACCACGTCATGGGGACGAAACTAGATCAAAGGGAATGAAATAACAATAAAGACACACCTTCGTATCAAGGTGGCAGCCCGCTTTGATAGCAGAGACATGCCTTAAGGGAAAGACATCCACCCTCCCTGGACAATACAACTAGCATCTAAAGTCAATAGTTATGTGTCGGTCACACCTTAGTGATCAGTGACAAATGCTTATTTAAACGACAGCGGTCATCGCGGAGCTAAGTTTGTCGTAGTGTGCATGAAAACAAAGTAGTTTTAGTGGTTATTACTCAGCTATGGCCTCTTACGTTACCCCACAGAAAGGGTATAGGACATTAGTTTCTGGTGATTTATGTTTATAAAAGCCAGAAGTGGAGCATCAGGCAAAGAGATTTGGAAATGTGAAGTTAGAACATGTCGAGCAAGAGTTCACACAATACATAATCACATAGTATTGGAGAGGTGTGATCATAACAATGTACTTGCCGGCATAGAAACGTAAGCGTTTCGTTTGTGTTGATGATGCAATAAAAACAATAGTTTTACGTTACGAACCTAAAGACCCATTCAACTTTTTGAAAAATATTTCGCGTCTTTTGAACATAAATGTTGTATAGCTACCGTTACTTTATTTTTTTATACATTATCATTTATTATACCTTTCATGAGTAAGCTTGTTTTAATTTTGACTTTTTCAAATCAAATGCTATTAGAAAGATTAAGTTTAATACATTTTTTGATTCTTTGTTAAGTTTAACATTTAAAATTTTGCTGTGAGATATTTTGTCTGAGATATTTTGTCTGAGATTATTTGTCCTGAGATCATTTGTCATGGAACCATATATATATATATATATATATATATATATATATATATATATATATATATATATATATATATATATATAATACTAAAACAACAATAAGTATCATTAAAACGTTTAGGCCACACAGAATGACCTCAACTAACCTATGACATCGATGATCCTTGTACTCGCCCGCACACAATTTGACCTTTTTAGGGGGGATGACCGGACACATGCACTCCGGCTCCAGCGCGCACCTGGCCCATGGTTCCAGAACTGCCCGGATGCTAAATACGTCCTTCCTGTACACGGACACGGTTGCAAGAAACTCTGGGTACATGTTGAAGGCACAAGGAGCCTCCCCGAAGTAGTTGAACGTCTGGTCATTAAAAAACATGACAAGATTAGTAGACGATCGTGCAAAGGTAATTCTAGTCAGAGGCGTCACAACATGGGGTGCTATCAGGCAGTGATACCCAGAAATCCCGCGATTCGAACTACAGACTCTCGGGGTGGCACTCGTGATTTGTAACATTCAGCCACAAAGTTCCTTATATATATATGTATATATATATATATATATATATATATATATATATATATATATATATATATATATATATATATATATATATATATATATATATATATATATTTATATATATATATATATATATTTATATATATATATATATATATATATATATATATATATATATATATATATATAAAATGAATTTATTTATTTATTTATTCTCCCATTTCACCTGAATGATAGTGTTTAGGGGTATCCTAGCCGCGCCAGCACACCGAAAGTTTTGGATACCAATGTCCAAAGCCCTATCAAGCACCTGTTGAATGCGGTCAGTCCATCTGATGGAATTGTCTTGGTACACTAGAAGTCTCCTTGCCTTTTCTATAGTAGCCTAACAAGAGTGGACATAGATCTAGACACAAGTATAGAAACCATGAACATAGTAGAATAAAAAATCCTGACGGGGATTTTTTTTTTTTGGTCTTTAGTAATACATAGATGTATGTTGTTTTTTATTTAATCAAAATCATACAAAAATTGTTTATACTAATACGTCGAAGCAAGTATTTAGATACTTTTTTTTTTTATTTAGTTATTAGTTATTTAAATAGCAGTTCATATATATTTTAAAAATTATTTATTTTCTCTTTTTTTTTAGGGGGGGGGGGGGGAGGGTGGGGGCATGTAGGCCTATAGTGCATTATTACATAAAAGCTTGCTATTAAAACGTCATTATGCATTTTTAAAGATTTTTCCATGGTTGTATCTACTGCTCCACATGGCTACTTATATGAGATTTATCTCGTCATAACCAATGGAAGAATCGTCAGTCTGGCTCATTGACCATGCACCTTCACTCTCGTTATAATGCAGGGGAATTAGGATAGTGGCTGGACATCAAAAGTGGAAGTAGTAGAAAGAACGTTTGTTTGTCGCTGTTACTTCACTTCCTGAGACTTTAAGCCCTAACACTCAACCACCCTCACCCCAGTACACCGAAAAAAATATACTGCTTTCTAATAACAAAACGTCTCAAAGATATTGTAAAGGCAACTTACTCTTATCAGTAGAGGTTTCCATGAGTAACAAAGCTTTTCCCTGACATGCGGTGGAAACATTTCGTAGGAAAAATTCACAACTTGACACCGGCAGTGTTTTTCTGTCTGATTGAAAACAAACAATGCCGTGTAAACCTTCCAACATGAAGCATGTGTCAACTTCTAACATAATAAAGAAGCCCTGATACTCAAGTTTTTCTTATCAACGTTATTTGTTATACCTCAGCGTCACTCCAGCATGCTAGTATCAATGGTTTGTGTTATACAGCGTACTAGCCGGAATAGCTAGGTTAACGGAGTAGATATATTACTTATCACTTCGAAACAACCAATCAGCTTCAACTTGGTCATAAGATTTTTCAGAGATAAATAAGCAGCCGCCACGCGCTTGTAGCGCTCAAAAATACAATGAGGTCTCCTTTACGGAATGCAATTAAATTAATTTGTATTTAATTTATAGGCCTGAAAAGTAACAAACTATTAAACCCATTTGTTTTCTTTAAGTGGTACTCATAATTTGCAACCATTCGGTACCCATTGTTTTACTTACTTTTTCTTTAGTCCCCATAAATTGTGGATTTATTAACCAAAAAATCGGGAGTGATCTCCCCTAAACTTTCTCGAATATTCTTATATAAAACAACAGGGGATGGGAACTCGGGCTATAGACATGATTTTTAATCCATTTTAAATACTTAAAGTTTTAAAAATAGAATAAAATCTCGTAGACAAAAGAATTGCACACCAAGTGAACGCCAAATAAAAAAGTGCATAATAGTGCGCAATATTATTGGTAGGCCTACTTTAAAAATTTACATTAGTTTTTTGAAAAATCGGAAGTAGCGTAAATTACTACTTCCAATCAACGGAAATTACTCAAAATTTAACAGAAGGTAGAGAATTAGATCTTCTACTTACATGTGAAATTTCATTTTCTACCTGAAATAGTACTCAAGTTATAGGCTTTTGAAAAATTCAAAGTAGAAAAAATATCACTTCCGGTTATCGGAAATCGCTCAAAAGTTGATACGGATCAACGATTTTGATCAACCTAGCTGTAACGGTACTCAAGTTATCGTGTTTACACACGGACAGACAGACACACAGACATACGAACAGAATTGCAAAGCCCAGTTTTTCAGACTGGATTACGCATAAAACCTCTTAATTTTGATAAATCTGGATTGATAATTTTTGCCCGATTAAAATAAGTCCTCTATACTCCGGATGTGATGAAGGACTGAGGTGTAATACGGTGAAAATTGTTAAAATTTCAAGTGATTTTTGTGCACGATTATAATACTTTCTCTATACTTCGTATATACGAGAAAGTAAAAATGTCAAGAAAAAGCGTAACTTCAGACCACTTTATCACATCTTTCATTTCCGTCTATATTAATCTATTCCAAGTGACTTGGCTCATTTTTATGTCACTAATTTCCAAAGATTTTTTATCCTTTAAAGTCTTTCTGTTTTCGTAATTTCAAGCCGTTCAACCATTTGTTTTCATAACAAAAATTTCATAGTTACCTATATATTCCAGAACAGGAGTGGATTTAAACCCGTAACTCCTTTAGTCACGTACAAAGCCCCCTCGACTCACCATGATCCTCTGCTCCTCTGTTAAACCAATGTCGAAGAGAACAACGGTGAAATTGTTGACACGAGGATACACCGTCTGGTGCAGGTTATAGAACATGTCCTGCATCTCGTCGTAGTGATTGGAGGAGCTGGCGGACACGAAGATGACGTCACTCTCAGGGATGGCCTGGCCCATGGACAGGATCAGACGACGCTGGTGTTCGGATAAGGTAAAGCTTGGTGACGTCAGAATGTCCAGCAACCGGGTTTCGGGGTCAGGGTTCAAAGGTCTAGAACAGTTGGCTATACAACCCCCTGTTGATTGCATTTTATACATACATAAACTCATTCTAGCCGGTATCGGCTAGGCTTCGCTCCAGCCTTTAAAACTATATCCAAATGTAAATGTTATCGCAGGTATTCATGTTTGTTTACAAAATATTTCAAAAAGAATTAAAGAGCATTACATAAAGCTGCGCTCAAAATAGCACGTACATCTTCACGTAATTCTAAAATTATAATTTACTCATCACCTGCCATTCATCAATATCTCAATTCGTTAAACGAATATAATAAACATCTGAGGCAAACGAAAAAAAATTTTTTTTTAATATTATTGGGAGCGGTGTGATGTCAAGACATCTTTTTAAAGCACCTCCTACCCCAATGTTTAACGTTACGTAACATTTCTCTATACTACAAGACCTCTCAATAATTATTTTTGTCTTTTCACCCCCCCCCCCCCCTTTCCAAACACCCACACAACCCATGACCAAAGTTAATACACAAAAATATGTATCTTTTAATTAAAACGTTTGAGAGAATAGCGTTGTTTAAAAGAATGATGGTATCATTTTAAATTAACCTTACTACAAACAAACAAAAACACAGACCGCAAGGGTTAAACCACAAACAGTAAACTTGGAATGAAGGTTAACTAAATTATAAATTAAAACAAACTACTTCTACTAAATTATAAACACAGAACATTTAGCTTAGGGGTTTAATTCAAAGCTCAGTTGGGTTTAAAATTACAAAAAGTAAATTAATACAGTATAACTGTGATACATCAAACAAAGACTAATGCAGTTAAAGGATTAGCGTGTAAGGTTAAAACAAGAGACATCAAAGAAAGACTAATGCAGTGAAAGGATTAGCGAGTAAGGTTAGAACAAGAGACATTTAACCTCGTGATTTGTTACTGCAGACATTGGAGAATATAATCCTGGGCGCGTCTGTGTCTCTTGAGATAATCTCGTTTAGTCGTGCGATCGAATCCCTGATGGTCGAATCATACAGCACGGAGTTGACCACTGGTACGTAAAAATAGACAATTTAAATGAGTTTTTCGTTTGAATTGCAGAACACACTTTTTGTGTTACTTTTGAAAACAATTGGCTGGTTTCGTTTTACTTCACCCCTACCTAATCTATGGACAGTTCATATCAAAAGTGTTTAAAAGGTTTCCTTATAATCCCGTGGCAGCCCTTGTAACCATTCTTCAGTCCGGAAAAATCTTTAATTTAAAACATCTCTTTTTTTCTGTTTGTATTTATATAGAGCTATCTTTCTCTCTCTGTTTGTATATATATATATATATATATATGTAACAACATGAATTCTTTGTTGTTATTGTGGGTTCTTCAATATACTCATACGAGCAACAGTAGTTGTGAAACAATAACTTTATTTACACTTTGTACAGAGAATTAATAGACCCATAGTAAATCCATGGTCACAACTGGTATAAGTACAATCACAGTCAAGAAACAAAGTGTCGTAGTAACATCCTACATTCACAGCCACAGTCCTCAGGTTCAAGTTCTAGCACACAACACCCGTTCACCTTTTTGCTCTCCCTTTTATTCACAACTTTCTCTCCCTTTACGTCAATGAGCGATCTCACCCAAAACACGGAAAAACACATGACGATCGCTCAGACAGTCCTTCCGCTAGCCAGGTACTCTTCATTCATGCAAAACACAATATAATAAAGATACATAATAATACAGTCTGTGACACGTCCCCCCTTCGAATAAAATTTTGTGTAACAAAATTTATAAATACAATATTAGTAGGGCAGGATCATGTGCCAGACAACAAAATTTATAAATACAGTATTGGTAGGGCAGGATCATGTGCCAGACAACAAAAAATTGTGTACAACTCAAAGTAGAGTAAAATATATTCATTTTAGACTAAGCACTTGTAGTCATAAATTTATAGTGCATACAAATACAACAGTATGTAGTGACTATATCAGTGATAATTAAAATATGTCAGTGTTTTGAACAAAAACTTTAAATGTACAAGCATTATATGTAATATTTAATGCATCAATATACATTCACATAGGAGAACAAAACATTTCAATTACCCAGTAACTGTAGTATAAAAAAAAAAAACTACATCAGTTGGGATAAATAATATACCAAACTAATTTGGTACAGGACTTAATTTCAAAACATAACACATAGTTAAAATACTTAAAGACTTAATTCAACTCATGAATTAAATAATGATATCCTATGTAAAGAAAAAACAACCTTATCATCAAGGCATGTTATTACCACGCATGAGTAATATACTTTGTTGTCTCCCCTAGTCGACCCATTTCAGTCATATCTAGGTCACAACACAACATTCTTGCCTTTCACAGGTATCGACTAATACAATTCATCATTGAGACTTCCGTCTTATTGTTATGCGGAATAAATAGTCTTAACTTTTACTTGATTTACTTTATTCCCTGTTAATTAATAGTATAGAATAGGTTTAACATAATACAGTTTACATTATTTTGATATAGTACACAATTTATGTTTACTCAAACACATTATTTGATATTTATATATTACAGTTACAGACTGTATAATATTAATAAACTGTCAATTGATAATTTAATCTTAGCATCCTCTATAGCATGAGTAATCGTTCTCGTGCAGTTGACGATGACCTGTATGCCATCTCTCCCTCAAATTGTAGCTTTTAGCTGTGCTACCATAATCATTTCCTAGATTTCGTGTAACTTGTGTTACTTCATTTGTTTTAATATTCTCCTCTGGTTTCTGAACAACGTCAGTAGTTATCTTGCTTTGTGTACGTTCGTTTGGTTCATCAACCAACTCAATATAAATATTATGGCATTGCTTTGGCCTCTCATAATATGTGTTGCGTCGGTAACTTCCATTAGTATACCTATTCACACTTTTGTTATTCTGATTTGAACTTGATACATTATTCCTTAAATTACTGTATTTCTCACATGACTTTCTGTGTACATAATTGTTTCTTCTCTGATTTGCCAACCTATGCCAACATTGATTTTGGTAATGACCTGTTTTTCCGCAGTAAAAACATCTAGATTTTGGCTTCTTATAAACATGGTGACTGTATTCATAGTTTGCTAAATTTCTTTTTCTTTCATTCTGTGCATTAATGACATTAATGACATTCTTATTAACATGTTGACTGTATTCATAGTTTGCTAAATTTCTTTTACTTTCATTCTGTGCATCAATGACATTGTAGTTTCTAGTTACTGTTTCATCTTTCTTAACTTCCTTGTGCTTCTTTATTGATTCTAATTCACACATAAATTTCTGTGTTAATTTCTCCATTTCTTTGTTAAATTTATTCTTGAGTTCTAGTATATCTTCTTTATAGTTTGACTCCAGATTTCTAAGTAACTCCTCAATAGGTACGTTCTCTTTATTGTGGCTTATTAAGTTCACTGATTCATTAATCATCATTAGTTTATCATGATTCCTGCCATTCTCCGATGGACTTATTAAATCATCACTGCCATTGACTGATGGGCTTATTAAATCATTTTGACTACCATTCTCTGATGGACTTGTTTCTTGTTGACTGCCATTCTCTGATGGACTTGTTTCTTGTTGACTGCCATTCTCTGATGGACTTACGATACAACTTTCAATAATATTCTCGTGTACCTGCGTATCATTTAATAAAGAGTCAATCTTAAGACATTCTAATGTATCTGTCACCTTTAAATCATTATTAAGTTCAACCTCTGTTTTATCCTTGGGTTTCAATTCTTCCTGGACTATGTTACTCTGTTCTTCATTCCAAAGGTTGCCAATATTTACTTCTTCAAGTTCTGCTTTAAATTCTGTCTGTTCACTTTCTAATTTTGGTTCATTTGTGTCTGTTATAGCTTTCATTTCTAATAGTTCTTGTTCATATGCTAGTTCATGTAGGCCAACTTGTTTTTCCAAAGTTTCAGCCCTTTTATCTGCTCTCTGTTTTCTGTTTCTTTTTTTTCTCTTCCCTTTTTGTTGTACAGTCTCCTCTACTTTATCTCCATCTGACATTTTTTTTTCTTCTTGCATTTCTGTAATACCTCTTGATTTATTACACACTATTTCTATCACATCATCTAGTTCTCTCAATACATTTCCATGAGCTCGTTTGGGTTGTTCATTTTGTTCGTCCCATGCTTCTAATGCTTTTTCTATGTCTCGGTCAAATCGAGTGTTTGCCCAGGCTATCTGCTTCTTCATCTTCTTAATGCCTTGCGCCCTCGCTAGTGCTAGATATTCTTCAAAACATAACATTTTGATATATTTTCTATGACATAAAATATAAATTCATTAGTTGACAATAGATAAATGTTAATTAATTTACAATACCCTTTCTTGTATTCTGGCTTTGTTCAGTTGATTAGAGACATCTAGTAATCCAAGAAAAGTTCATAGTACATATATAGTACAAAAATAGTTCACTTTGTTGATTCCAAAAAGTTAGAAAAATTAAAATAGTTCTAGTAGCCTGTTACAGAGTAGAAATTTGTCCAGTTTTAGATAAGACATCTTTAGGAACAGTTTAGGAACAGTTACAAAAATAAACTTGATCTGCTAAATCCAAACAGTAGAAAAACTTGAACAGCTAATCCATATAGAAAAAACTTGAACAGCTAAATCCAAACAGTAGAAAAGAAACACTAAGACTTGATCGGCTAAATCCAAACAGAAAAAACACACAGACGATATTTACTCGACATTGGTGAGACAATATCGAAATAAGGTGATAAAAATTATCACGTTGATGACTTGACTTGAACAAGACGTCTGACTTGACTACAGCAACCCTTCTGACTTGAGTGTAGATAGATGACTTTCAAGAACTTGACGTACTTGGTAAACAGTGGAAGACCACTTCAAAAACGTTGAAAACTGCTTACAATGATAATGTGACAATTCTTGATCACTTGTAGTAACACTGTAACTTCGTTGACGATTTCAGACTTCAATATAATTTACCAATGTAACAACATCACTTCTTCAATTGCTTCTGACAATGTAACAGTAGAATCAGTAACAGTAGCACCACTTCTTCAACCACTTTTGACATCATATGTAACAGTAGACGCTCACTTCTGACACCATATGTAACAACATGAATTCTTTGTTGTTATTGTGGGTTCTTCAATATACTCATACGAGCAACAGTAGTTGTGAAACAATAACTTTATTTACACTTTGTACAGAGAATTAATAGACCCATAGTAAATCCATGGTCACAACTGGTATAAGTACAATCACAGTCAAGAAACAAAGTGTCGTAGTAACATCCTACATTCACAGCCACAGTCCTCAGGTTCAAGTTCTAGCACACAACACCCGTTCACCTTTTTGCTCTCCCTTTTATTCACAACTTTCTCTCCCTTTACGTCAATGAGCGATCTCACCCAAAACACGGAAAAACACATGACGATCGCTCAGACAGTCCTTCCGCTAGCCAGGTACTCTTCATTCATGCAAAACACAATATAATAAAGATACATAATAATACAGTCTGTGACAATATATATATATATATATATATATATATATATATATATATATATATAATAGTTACCTTTCAAAGGAAAGACGTAGCTGATATATATATATATATATATATATATATATATATATATATATATATATATATATATATATATATATATATATATATATATATATATATAAAACTTTTTTAGATGTGAATAAAATCTTCATGATGTTATAGTTACCTCTTGAAGAAATAAAGTAGCCCATGTTCCTGATTGAGAGACATTGATACAGTAGAATCACAGTACAAACTAGACATGTACCGATAATTGCACTGACGGCTGAAAGTAAAAAAGTAATAATAATTAAACCAGTAAACATTTTTTTAAAACTTTTTAGAGAATTTATATTTCACGTGAAAAAGGTTTTACAAAATCAATCCAACTTACTTTTCTTGGAAAACAAATTATTCATGTTTGAGATAAGCGCAGAATTTCTCTATGCTAAATAAATCTAACCGAGATTTAGTTTCATAGTAATATACTTTAAATTAACATAAACATGCACCATAATTAGCCGAACATTGGGCCTATGGAGAAAGAAAGAAACAATCTTCAACCAAAAGGTAGCAGTTTTTTCCCTCAAGTATTCATAGAGTTATCAACGTCATCTGTTACTTTGTAGAAACCTGACGACGATAAGGAAAATGTGTTGACAGATTAGAGAATAGATCACGACGTGGAAGAATTGAGATAAAATCAATACACTTTATTGGATTTTAAAATTGATGTTTGGCTTGTGTATATTAGTTAAAGAGACAGAACAAAACACATTTTTAAAGGGACAAATAATTTTTAACTTTTCATGCAGGTTAAGACTCGAAGGAAAAGTAATGAAACATAAAATCCTTAAGTAATATTTCAAAAGTATATATTTTGAATATAAACTGTATTTCTTTGGGGGAAACGTTAGTTTCTTTATTATCGCGCAACAATGACTTCTTTATTTTTATGGCATTTCGTTTCGTTTTGAAAATTTCCTGTGTTCCATGTGACATCACGGTAGTAGGAAGTTTCGATTTTCGCGTTTTTCGTGTGAAAGTTTTTACTTTCCTTGTGTTTTGTATAGAGCGTTCTCGACAGACAGACTGATAGACAGAATAGTGAAACTATCTGTTTGTTTCCTGTTCATTTGGTGGCAATAATATTTTTTACGCGATTCTTTTCTATTTAAAAATTTAAATATTTAAAAACTGATTTTAAAATGTGTCTATAGCTCGATTGAATTTGAGTAACGAATATTTGAGAAAGTTTAAGGGAGATCACTCCCTCTCTCTCTCTCTCTCATTTTTTTTTGTTACAGGTATCTGTTACTTTGTAAAACTTGACGTTAAAGATCATTTCTCGATGTGGTGTTTTACTAGACAAAAAATCAATACATGTTATAATATTTTAAAATTTTAGTGTTGAACTTAAGAGACAATACATTTATAAGGATAGGTCTTTTGTAAACCGGAGATGAAACGGTTTAAAAGATATTTAGTTTGACTTCTCAACAGTTCGCTATTATTGAGGTATTACTATTTCTGTTACAGTCTTCACAAGCCGATGATGAAAACTATAATACTAAAGCAGGGGTCGGCAACCTGCGGCTCGCGAGCCGCATGTGGCTTTTTTTATGTCAATTTGCGGCTCTCCAGTTCCATAATAATTATTTTATTTTCAAAACTAAAAAAAAAACAATATACCGTAAAAACAAACACAACTTCAAATAAAATAAAAAAACAATGAGAATAGGTGGAGTAAAGTAAAAATTGGGAAATTTTGTAGACTAACGTTTGGCTCTTCCGTCTAAAAATGTCGCCGACCCCTGTACTAAAACTAGCATGGCAAGGCAAACTGACGCTTTACATTTCAGATCTGAGGCGGGGAAAGAATGAACTAAATAAATAAATAAATAACAATATATGGGAAAAAGACTATAGGGATAAAAAAAATTGGTTGAGAATGGGCCTGGAGACAGAAGTAAAGATAGGAAAACTGGACCACAACATGTTAATCACCACTGTCGCGCTCCTCTGTATTAAAACCTGTTTAAAACCTGCAAAGTAAAGATTAAAGACTCCTATTAGTCCTATTTAGCCTAGAGATCAACTGGGCAGATTTAGTAGAGTTCATAGTGTTTCTTTACCTCGGCATATGAAGGTAGGGTGAAGTCAGCACTCTTCCAAGCCGCCTTTACTTTACCTAACATGAGTTAGGTACCCATTAGAGCTGGGTGGACTCAGTGATTTTCTACTGACTTGGACCCAGATCCGAACTCAAGACTTTCGGGTTTGCAGCCTTGCGCACTACCTCTTTGACCACCCAGTCCCAGTGTTAGTACTTTATGTCCGTCTTTTGTCAATAAATCTAATCCTAGTTTTTATTTATAACATGATATTATAAATAGGGATAGGATTAACTTTCTTATTTTAACAGCTGATGCCAAGTTGTATAGGAGACGCCTCTCTCTTGGTTCCATCAGCTGTGTGGAGAGATGGGGGGGGGGGTCTGATACACGGGGAGTATCTGTCCCTTCTCATATTACTACCCAGGCTTTGGGCCTGGATTTCCTAGGCGCAATAACCCAAACTAGATTTTGGTACGTTTTATTTCATTCGCAATAACAGTAGCCTATGTTTTTCTCTTAATTTTGTACCTATTGATTTCAGCCTTTCATTATTTTTTTTTTCGATATACGAAACTAACTTTATTTTAGTGTTCGATTTTCTAATCAATACACTATTAAAGTTAAAACGTTTACCCGTATGTATTTGGTTGTTGATTTTGAAATGTTATAGTGTAAATGGACACTCAGCCACGCAGGGAGAAAAAAAAAGGGGGGGGGGTGGGGTTAGAGGAGGAGGGTGGTAATCGATTGTTTTAGCCCAGTAGATCAATAACTAGCCTAATGTAGAGATCACATTTTTTGTGTGATTCGTCTTATAAAGTTGTGTGTTGTGTCATTCACTGTTTTCCTTTACTGTCTTCAGCGTGTTGGGCTGCATTAAAGTGTCTCTGTTGAATGTGTCTTCATTCAGGTGTCTCAGTAGTGCACAGATTTGATGGGCTGTCTTTTATCTGCCTCGCTACTTTTCCAAACATATATCCACCTTTCCTTCTTATTCCGTCATCCAAAGTAATGATGTCATTCTTATCGAGGTGTCCTCCAGTCTCAGCACACAGCCAATTATAAGATTTATGTCATGTTGTTTTTTAATTTTTGTAGGTATATCTCAGCTGTTTGTGTGTGTGTGTGTGTGTGTGTGTGCGTGCGTGTGCGTGTGCGTGTGCGTGTGTGTGTGTGTGTGCGTGTGCGTGTGCGTGTGTGCGTGTGTGCGTGTGTGTGTCAAGTTTTTGTTTTGGAAAGTTGATAGTTTGCTAGCATGTTTGAGAACACCGATCAATGCAACAGCTTTAAGAGTGTGCAGCTCTTGATATCACGGTTTTAATGAGTAATTATTAAAATAAACATAGCACATTCAATTTATAAAACGGTATTTATTACCAGCACAAATTATTTTTAACCGCTTCTTTTCTACTAACAGTTTATTACTTTTTGTCAGCACATAGATTTCTCCAAGAAATATTTCAACGATTTTCTCCGCGATTGTTTATCAATCAGGTTAGGCGAAAAGAGGACGGTGTTAACTGTACACCGGTATGAAAAGCCCTCAATCACCGTAATTAAAGTATTTGATTTTTTTCAATCAATTAAAGGTTAAAGTTAAAAACAATTTCTCCGTGTAGTTGAGTGTGGAAATATTGTTAGGCGACACTCAACGACATGATGAGCGAGGATGCGTAGTAAACGATTTAGTCAGATGAGCAGATCAATAAGGTAGATGGCGTTGATGTATATTTGTTTGATACAGGTTTGTGGATTGTGTCATACACTGCTTTCTTTACCATCGTCTGTGTGAAACATTGCTATAACGTTATACGACACTTGCATTCAGAGTTTCTTTCAGACTTTTCTCACCGGCGGGGCAGTTGATATTTTCGGGGGGCGGACTAAATTTTCCGGGGGGGGGGGGCACTGGTAAAAGTATTTTCTATATAATTTCAATTTCGCTCGGGGAAGGGGGGGGGAGAACTCACCCCGAAAAGATGCCTGGAAGAAACTCCGCTTGTTTTTCGTCCTTTCTTTTTTCCCTGATTAAGTGACGTTTTTATCATTGAAATATCATGATATAGCTGACACACATTAGAGAAAGACAAATTTATTGCAGCCCAACGCGCTGAAGACCCTTGAAAGGAAACAATGAATGACATTACACTCGTCCCCTTCCTATGACGAATCATACAAAAAATTTGACCTCTACATTAGGCCAGTTATTGATCTTCAGGGTTGAACATGAAAGTGTTCTAACTGGTAAGGTAAAATTATTTTTTTAGGAAGAAATCACACGATAAAATCAAGAAAGCGTAAAGGCAAAGACTGGTGTCGAAAAAAATAGGCGAAAGTAACAAACAGTACGTAAGCATAGAAGCTTTTCTTCTTCATTCTTAATTGAAATGTTTAAAGAAATAAGCGCCAACACAATTAAAACAACTTTTCAATATGTTATGCCTTTTACTGATTGTTGTCTCAGTTCATCATGCTTTTCTTTCTAGATTTTATCCTACCAAAAATAATCTGCATGGCAAAAGTTCCTTGCATTTGGTGTTTTCTCTCCTAGATGGCTTGCTGTCTCCAGCTTACGAGCCTCATCCGCCCGGGGGTCAGAGCTCGGGATTTTCTGAGACCCAAGATTCTGTTTAAATAAGGCATTTTTTTTATTTCGTCCATTAAGCTTAAACTATCTTACATAATTTTTTCAGAGGCAATATCTATCGGGTCCTACATTGCAAGACACCATCTCCAACGGCACCAATACCATCACCACTATAATCACTATCACCACCACTTCCATCACCAGAAATACCATCACCACCATCACGACCACCACCAACAACAACCACAATGACAACTCCACCTCCACCACCATCACCACCATCACCATGAACACCACGAACACCACAACCAGCACCACAGCCACTAACAACACCACCAACAACAACAACAACCACAACATCAACACTACCATCATCATCAACACCATCACCGCCATCCGCACTACCAGCACCACCATCACCACCAGCACCACCACCACCACCAACAACAACAACAACTCCAACTCAACCAACTCCACCAGCAACACCACCACAACCATCATCAATACCAACACCACCACCACCACCACCCACACATACAACACAATCACACGACTAATACAGTTGATATAACAAACACCGCACACACAAATAAAACAACGAACGCAACCAACGCACCTAACACAACCAACACAAATAACACACCAAATGCTTTATTTTAACACCCACTTTGTTACAAATCTTGTCACTTCACATATTTCACATTGGCTGTAATTTTTAAAAATCTTACAAATAATTGAATATTTCAAGCTGTGTTCATTGTTCAAAAAGCTTTTCCATAGTAAAAAGCGTTGTCCGCAACGAAAGAAAATGCTCCCTCTTGCTAGTTAATTATACACATTTTAAACACAAATACTTGTTTACGATCGTCTATAAAGTTATATACCTAGTGATTCATTGCTATACTTTAAAAGAAATATTGCGGATCAAAAATTATATTTTAGAGCATTAAGAGCTATAAATCCTTGCTATTATAAAAGTTGTTATTTAAAAAAAAAATAAACCGGGAGTGATCTCCCCGAAACTTTCTCGAATATTCTAATAACTAATATAACACTATGGGGGATGGCAACTCAGGACATAGATAATATTTGTAATCCATTTTTAATTACTTAAACTTTTTATAATAGAATAGAATCTTGTAAAAAAAAAAAAGATTTTGAAAAATTCAAAGTAGAAAAAGTTCCAATACCGGTTATCGGAAAAAAGTTGTCACGGATCTACGATTTTGAGATAATACTTATATATGAAATTTCATCAACCTAGCTGTAACGGTACTCAAGTTATCGTGTTTACACACACACAGACAGACAAACATACACACAGACATACGGGCAAGATTGTAAAACTATGATTTTCCGACTCAGGGAGCCCTAAAACGTCGAGATTTGCAAAAATCTCGATTTTTATTTTTGAATGATTACAAGACTTTCTCTATACTTCGTATATACGAGAAAGTAAAAACACGTGCGCTAAAAATGAACTCATGAAACAGCTCAGGAAAACGCAATATGATTAGTAATTTATGTGCCTATCATTTTTTCATTTTTTTTTTACTAACATAATTAAATAAATAGTTTAGGTAAAGTTACTGGCATTGTAACTTTTTCCGATCATGAAAAAAATACTTTTAAAAACAGCATTGTAACTAAATCCGATCTTGAAAAAATACGTTTAAAATCAGTTCAGTAGAAGAGCATTAACGAAGCAATAACAAGGCAAAATATAAAAGACACGAAGAATAAATTTAAATGGAAGCTTGTAAAACACATTCTGCATTGGTATCGTTAGCGTTGAACATAAGATTCTGTATTACATTGAAAAACATCCATCTGATTTTTAGTACTTGTTATTTCCCCTTTTAGATGTATATTTATAAAGGTTTATCCCTTACTGGGCGTATTTATTATTTAAGTTGATACCAGTAAAAATATGTAAACTAGCATTTTATTGTGGTACTTTTCTCCTTAAATTAAAAAAAAAAAAATTTCAAAATGTATTTAAAAACTTTACAACACATGAAACATTTAGTTACAATGATTGTATTAAAACCTTTGTAATAATATGTATAAAATTGTAACCTCGGGTAATATGTTGAATAAAGCTTGTGAAACAACTTACCTTTCGTTGAATAGCAACTGGATGACATTCGAGTATTTATTTATATATTTTAATTCGTTACCTGACCTGACGTATACATTATTTCTGCTTAAATAGAATTGTGCTATAGTTTTTAAAATATATACATGAGCTTTATTATAAAAATGGCTCTTTCATGTAATATAATTTCTTTTTTTTCAGTAAGAAGTAAATTTACAATTTCAAGTTTTTACTTATTTCACATATTCAATTTTTATTTTTAAGAAAACTTCAAAATTAAACTTCTTAGTGCACTGGATCAAGACTGAAACTTATTATGAATAACGTTATCTACCTTTGTTTTAAGTTATAGAGGTTTAAACTATATTTATGTTCACACTTCGCCCATGGATACCAAACCTACTACACCAGATTTAACACAATCTTTATTATAAAGAAAAAAAAATTAATAAAAATGGATTAAAGTAACACTCGAATAATATCTTGTTAATTTCATAAGTGGTTTCTGGCCTTAAATTCTAAAACATACATAATATAAAACACACGTAGATAAAAAACATAAGGTGTTTAACTTTGTGTTGAGTTAAAATAGTTTGGCCTCTTCGACCCACGATGAACACCGAGAAATTGTTGAAACTCAGGGGCGAGCACTCGGTATAAATCAGGACCAAATATTTTCGCAGTTATCATTCCTATTGCTGACTGATCGAACCTGCAAACGCGATCATTTAAAATCACGAAATGACGCTATAATTATATATATATATATATATATATATATATATATATATATATATATGTATGTATATATATGTATATATGTGTATATATATATATATATATATATATATATGTAAATATATATATATATATATATATATATATATATATATATATATATATATATATATATATATATATATATATATAATTCATATTTAGGCCTCTACTTATCAATGCTAAAATATACATATATAAATCGAATGAAACAGAGAAATGTAGGCTATATAATATACAGTAAATAACGACATTAAAACTTTTTAAGCCGAAAGCATGACGTCAACTGACCTATGGCATCGATGGTTCTTGTTCTCGCCACGACACCCTAAGACCTTGCGAGGAGTGACCGGACACACGCACTCCTGCTGCAGCGCGCATCGGGCCCACGGTTCCAGAATAGCCCGGATGTTAAAGATGTCCTTCCTGTACATGGAGACGCCTCCAAGTAACTCTGGGAATAAGTTGAAGGCACAAGGCTCCTCGCCAAAGTAGTCGAAGGTCTGATCATTAAAAAATCATAACAAAAATGGTAGTAGATATACTAAATGTTTAGCCACTATGATGTATAATTTATCTCGTTAAAGCTCACAGACTTATATTATTTTATTGATTTATTAAATTATATTAAGAAGAGTAGTTTTATTTTTATTGACCTTCGCTCTTTTATTTATTTGATGTCACCCTCTTGGAGGGCGTAACACATTGTGTCTGTCACTCAATTCCACGCCCCACCCCTCCCTTGTCTTTTGTTACAATTGAGTTTAATAGTATTTAGAGTTCTAGCATGACTGTAACGATAGTTTCTAAGCATTATGTGTGTCTGGACTCTGATCTTAATATTAGCCCTAACCCTAAAACAAATCCTTTTAATATAGGTCCCAGACACTTTACCGTACCATATTACTAACTTCAAATACTTGCAGGGAATCACTCTGGTATATTAGTGTGTAGTCTGTGTAAGTATTTGGGACGGCGTGGTCTAAACGATAGAGTGCTAGGCCACTAACAAGGAAGTCTCGAGTTCAAAGTCAAAAGAACGTCCCTTTCTCTTCCCAGCTCTGATGGGTACCTAACTCATGCTAGGGAAAGTAAAGGCAGCTGGTATAGGTGCAGACCACACCTTCCCTTCATATGTCGATATCAAGAAATTCATCTGCAGAATGAATCTATAAAGAGTATTCTTTTTGCTAACAATGTACGTATTAGCCAGTAGTCCAACTAGGCTCACCTGTATCAGGGTATGCAGGGGTATCCTAGCCAAGCTATCTGGCCTGAAGTACTGGACGCCAATGTCCCACGCCCTGTCCATCACTTGTTGGATGCGGTCAGTCCATCTGACGGAGGCGTCTTGATAAACCAAAAGTCTCCTTGCTTTCTCTATAGCAGCCTGGAATTAAGCGACTGTCGTGAATACGGCAATAAGTTTAGTTCTGTATTTATAGTAACATTTATTAGCAAGTGGCTTTAAGGGAGAAGAAAACAAGGAAAGCCTAGGCAGACGTGGAGGCATACGGCGGGAAAGCAGCTGACAACAGCAGAACTGTCTTGGGGGACTGCCGGGAAAATCGTCGGAGACCGACAAAAGTGGGGGGTAGCTTTCTTTTTGTGGCGGCCAATTGTGTTTTTGGTTCAAAAGTGACAAGATAATAATGATGATATTAGCAAATATTCTAGTAACAAGAATGGGATGAAAAATACAAATATACAAGAATATGTCTTTTCACGATCTCGTATATAGAGCATAGAAATAGGAGAAAGCGTTGCAGTTGTGCAAATATATATATATATACATTTATTTATTTTAAATCTCGAAGTTTTTCTTCTTCTTCTTCTTCTTCGTTCTTAATTGTAGTGTTGGAAGGGATCCCCTCAAACACAATTAAGGATACGTGTCAACTGGTTTTGCGCCATTTAGGCCATTGACTCCGATTTCAGCCTGCTTTTGTTTTTGGATTTCCTTCCATAGCCTTTGTCCAACCAAGAACAAACTACAAGGCAGCAGTTGTATGATTTTGGAGTTATCTCTCCTAGAAGAGTGGCTGTCCCCAGCTAACGAGCCTCATCTGCCCGAGTGTTCGAACTCGAGACTTTTCGGTTTAGCAACCTTGAGCTTTACCGACTCGACCACGCTCAAAGTTTAAATCTCGACGTTCAACACTTTGCTGTGTTGAAAAAAAAATGTGTGTGTCTGTCTGTGTGTGTGTGCAAGGAGCGGTGTTGGGGTGCGTGTGCGTGAACTAGATTGCTTCAGTACTGTTGTAGTTACGTGGACAAAATTTCAAACACAAATTAGATCCTAAACGTTTTTTTTCAAGTTTTATCGATTCCTTAAACAGGCGGTGGTACTTTATTCTATTTCCAGGTATATAACAAAGCCTTTCAGAATTTGTTAATTTGTATAAAATGCTCACAGAGCCACACATTTTAGAACATTTCGCCTTTATTTATTTTCTAAAAAAAACTAGCGGTTTGGTTACAAATTTACCTACCCTTTCAATAGCCCTATTTCAAAAAATATACTATCCCAACACTTATTGTTATATATTGGAATATACGAAAACGTTAGGGCAGCTCACCCGCACTTTTTAAAAATGGTTTACGTATTATTGGTTATGTTTGAAGTTTTCTTGCTATAGTTGTTACCATTTTGGTCGCTTTTCCGAGCTTCATCAATCAAGTTGGTTGATGAATGGGCTATTTATGTTATCAAATAAGTATTTCCCATTACACACAACGATTCTATTTTGTGCTGAGATAACTTTATAGATGTTCCACTACGCGTATTTTTTTTTTCTGACTGGACCTAGTGGTCAAATGGTTTATTAAATGTAGTTTATTTGGTCATAGAACTTGGGGAAATTACGGCTGGGCCAATGAACAGACAGTTTTATCAGTGTTTCTTTTCAGATCTTTTTTCCGTCGGGGGGGGGGGGGGGGGGGCTTGATATTTGGGGAGGGGGGCACTAAGTTTTCCTAGAGAGAGAGAGGGCACAAAGACATGCCTGAAAGAAACTCTGATCTTTATTTCGTTATGAAGCAGTTTAAAAAATTATCACTGGTAGAAAGACCTATCGTTTATATTCTTGTGACTTCATTTCAAGGGCTTCTCCCCTTAGGTTCTAGCCGTGAGCTCTAACACCCGACCACTCTACCCCACTCATTGAAGAGCCATTAACAATATAATGTTCTCTAATGTCGATATTTTCCTCAGTGACAATCTAGACTTGTAACCTACCCGAACCAGCAGAGGTTTCCAAGCGTAGCAAATTTTTTCCCTAACGTAAGCTGGAAAATGTTCAAAGGGAAAAGTCACAACTTGACACCGGCAGTGTTTTTCTGTCTGGGTGAAACAATCAAGTGATCAACATACATAGAACAGTCATGTATCAATCTTTCGAAACAAAACTCACGTAATCAACAGTCATACACCTGACATGTATAAGTTTAGTTTTTCAAACACGAAAAGGTAAGACACAATGGTGTGTTGGGGTAGTGTATATATTTCTGTATTTCATTTTTCTATTTGGTTATGGAAGGGGTCGGTGGACTTGCTCCTCTGTGGGGGGGGGGGGTGATAGATAAAATTGTTTTATTTTATATTTATACGTGCCTACCCGCGGCGTACCATGCGCCGCTAATTAGCTGTTTTATGTTCTATTTTTCAGTAATTCATAATTTGTTACAACAACCCTACCCTCCCCCCCCCCCCTGCTCTAGTGAAAGCAGCCATCGTCGACGACAGTTTACAAACGACAATAAAAAGACAAAACAGAACGTGTAACCTCCCCTTAGTTTTAATTCTTTAAATTAAATTATCTGCCCCTAATAGCAGTCACTAATTCGATCCTGCTCTATGACTGTAAACAATCGGCGTCAACCACAGCTCACCAGAAAGGTGGGGGTGATATTTTCTGTTACGCATTCCTTCAGAGCAAGGGAGAGGCCGGTAGGAGGGTTAGATAATCGGCTTGCGTTGTATTAGTGTCCAAGTAGATAATTATATATGTGTATATATATATATATATATATATATATATATATATATATATATATATATATATATATATATATATATATATATATATATATATATATATATATATATATATATATATATATATATATATATATATATATATTTCCTCTGCATGAAGCGTAGACCAAACTTCTCTACCATACTGGGCGTCTCCTAGGGGTAAAGCAGTAGAGTACTGACCCGAAAGTCTCGAGTTTGCATCCGGGTTCAAGTCAGTGGATCATCCCTGAGACTTCCCAGTTGTGATGTTTAACTAAATCACGTTAGAGAAAGTAAAGGTGGCTGGGCATGGTGCTGACCACACTATCCTTAAAAATGTCGAAGTAATTGAAACGTCGTCTTCCGTGTGTGTCGTGGCCAGGTTTCTAAAACATACTTTGTCAATCTAATATTTCGTGAAAAGTGTTTAAAACATAAAACATGCGAGTTGGATTTGAACCTTTGACTCCTACACACGTACAAAGCCCCATCGACTCACCATAATCCTCTCTTCCTCTGTTAAACCAATGTCGAAGAGAACAACGGTGAAATTGTTGACACGAGGATACACCGTCTGGTGCAGGTTATAGAACATGTCCTGCATCTCGTCGTAGTGATTGGAGGAGCTGGCGGACACGAAGATGACGTCACTCTCAGGGATGGCCTGGCCCATGGAGAGGATCAGACGACGCTGGTGTTATATATATATATATATATATATATATATATATATATATATATATATATATATATATATATATATATATATATATATATATCACGTTTGTTAATCTAAATAAAAATCTTTAAGATGTTGACGTTACCTTTTGAAGAAATCAAGAAGCCCATGTGCTTGAGTGAGTGAAAGTTGTACAGTAGAATCACAATAAATATTAGACAAGTACCTACAACTGCACTGACGGCTGAAAGTATTAGCAAAATGAAAAAAAAAATTGAGCATTAAACAATAATTTTGCTTTATATAAATATATAATTCGTAATTTTTAAAAAGGTTTTAGTTAATTGATATTTCATGTAAGAAATGTTTTTCATTATCAATACAACTTACTTTTCTTGGAAAATAAATTAATGTTCATGTTCGAGAGACGTGCAGAATTTCCTATCCTTAATACACCCAAAAAATGTAGTTTCCTTGTATTATATTTTAAACTATCACACTCTCATAAGTAGTTTTAACATTTATTTTATCTAAAAATGTGACAATAAGTATGCGCAACAACTTATCAAACAGTAGTGATATGAAGAAAAAAGAAAAACAACCTGTATTCTAAAGCAAACAGGTACCAATTTTTTTTCCTTTTTTTCATAGAGTTATCAATGTCATTTGTTTACTTTGTAGATACCTGATGACGTTCAAAAACACGCTGTTGACACATTAGAGAACAAATCACGAAGTGGTAGAATTACGATAAAAGTCGTTACTTATTATTGCATTTTGGTATTGATAATTGGCTTTTGTACTGAGACTGCTGATCAGAGACGTAACTAGCAAAGGGGAGGAGGGGGGGGGGGGGGGTAATGTCGGAAGAAGGGAAAGCACAAAATAGATATAGATCTGGAATCTAGGTCAAACCAAAATTAATTAGATATAAATAAAAACAATTATAAATACACAAACGAATAATTATTATACTTCTTTAGTCCTTAAATATTTGATTTAACTCTTTGCATTTTAGATTCAGTCACAGAACATTTAATTCGAGAATAAAAGGAATTCATTTAGATTCTAGCTCTATCTAGATCTAGAATCTATACCAATAATGACTTTCAATACTAAACTATTTCAGGCCTTAATTATTTTAATAAACCTTTGATTGTTTAATTAAGGATTTGACCAATTTAAAAAATAAATTAATTTGAAATGATAGCGCCTATTGAATTGTTTTTTTTTAAATGTGAATGATAAAGTTGCCTATCAGGACTTGGCGGGACACGGGGCAGGTGAAGTAGAGTTCAATTGTTTCTGTGTCCTCTGCAAAATTAAAGAATAGTGTGGTCAGACCCATGCTCAGCCGAAATCGGTGTTTTTAAAAGACATAATTTTGCCTGAGGTGTGACGTCTTTTTAAATGTGGGGTCTGACTTTTTGTGACGATGTGTGACAGTGGGAAGGGAAAGATAAAAGTCTCCAAACAAACGTGACGTCATTTATGGATAGGTGGTGATTTTGGTTTTGGTTTTTGTATCCTTCCTCAACGGGCCATTTTTCACGTATATAAATAAATAAATAAACATATACATATATATATATATATATATATATATATATATATATATATATATATATATATATATATATATATATATATATATATATATATATAATGTATGTATATTTATGAGGGGGGTGGCGCCAAATTGTAAGCACTCCCCGGGCGCTTGGAGGGGTCGCTACTCCTCTGAGCAGAACACCACACACTTACTGTGTGGTTCGTCGTTGCAAGGTGGCAAGTGTAGTGTCATTTATTGTTTTCTTTCAAGGTTCTTCAGCGCGTTGGGCTGCAATAAATTTGTATCTCTCCAATATGTGTCAGCTATCTTAGTCGCCCGTAGGATTGATGTGCACTCTTCAGCTTCCTCACCGCTTTTCGACCATAGTAATGTCTTCCTTATCGAGGTGTACTCCATTCTCCACAATTATAAGATTTCTCTTATGTTTCTTATTAATTTGTATGTATATATCGGATGTTTTGTGTGTCTAGTTCGTGTTTTGCAAAGTTGATAGATTGTTCGTCTGTTTCAGAACACCGATCAATACAACAGTTTTAAGAATGTGCAGTTTTATATTTGAGTTTTATGTAAGTACTTTCTTTTTACGGTTTAAATACTTTGATCATATTTTTACTTTCTCGTATAGGAAGTATGGAGGATGTATTGTTGTTGTCTGAGTCGGAAAAACATAGTTTTGCAAATTTGCAAAATGATCAATAAAAAATTTTCATGGATCAATTTAATAATAATAATAATTGAATATTGTATTTTCATCGGAAACAAAGCATCCCTGAAAATTTCAGCGCGCTAGCTAACTGGGAAGTGCCCGAAATTTTGATCGCACAATTTGATGGAAAGACAAACAAACAAAGAAACAGACGCGAAAGCAAGTTAAAGAAAACGTGGGAAAAATGGCTCCTCGGTGTATTATAATTTATTGTTTTCTGTAAGAGCTAACGTACAATGCTCTTTTTAACTTTATTTCACGTTTTCCAAAACATTTTATGTCTACGCAATCTTCAAAATTAACCTCCTAGTGCATTGGAACAAGACTTAAAGTTATTATGCATAACGCTATCTACTTTTGTTTAATGTTATAGAGGTTTTAAAATAGTTTTATGCTTATACTTCGTACATAGTTACCATAGCTCCTAGACCAGATTTAACGAAATTTTATGTTCGAAAGAATAAAATGTAATTGGATTAAAGAAACACTCTGATTCTTTCTTTTTAATTACAAAAGTAGCTTCTGGCCTTAAGTTCTAAAACATACATAATATAAAACACACTTAGATAAAAAAAAATAAAAGGTGTTTAACTTTATGTTGAGTTAAAGTAGTTTGGCCTTTTCGAATCACGATAAACACCGACAAACTGATCATGCTCAGGGGCAAGCACTCGGTATAAATCAGGACCGAATATTTTCGCAGTTATCATTCCTATTGCTGACTGATCGAACCTGCAAATATGAGATTCAAAATGATAAAATAACGATATACTTATATATATATATATATATATATATATATATATATATATATATATATATATATATATATATATATATATATATATATATATATATATATACATATATTTGTGTGTGTATGTATACTTCATATATATATATATATATATATATATATATATATATATATATATATATATATATATATATATATATATATTTGTGTGTGTATGTATACTTCATATATATATATATATATATATATATATATATAGGCACCCCGTCAAAAGAGCGCACGACAAAAGAGCGCCGACATAAGAGCGCAGACAAAAGAGCGCCGACATAAGAGCGCCGACATAAGAGCGCACTATTTTCCCGACAAAAGAGCGCCGACATAAGAGCGCAAACTAAAAATCGAAAAACCATATTTAATAAATAAAAACAAGAAAATTAACTCAGATCAGAAGGCATCGTTTGGTGTTAACTCTTTATTGTTTCATTAAAAAACTAATTGTTTAGTTTCTTTAACTAAAAAACTGGTACAATTATTCAAAACGCAATCTAATAACACATACAAAGATTTTAAATGATAGGCCTAAAGTGAGAATATAAACTGAAATGAAATGTAACAAAATGAAAATAAGTTCAAATTAATAAAACGTTTCTTTATAGTTGCATTATATTGCTAAGTTGTGGGCTATACCCCGTAGGTAGTCCATCATTGAATCATTTGCATAGGTTGAAGCAATCGCCTGCAATCTTCGGTTCAGCTGAACGTAATTGTTCTTTGAAGCTTCTGGTTGTCGTTTGAAGAGGTTCAGGAATTGTTATCTCTGCAACGTTCTGTGAATTTGAGTATGGCAGCTGCGTTTTCTCTGTCTTTCTATTGCACATTGTGAAGCGACGTATGCCGGCAAATGAGGTGCTACTTCCATCGAAATTCCTTCTCTGGCTTGTTGTATAATCTGCCTTGGTTTTTCCACCCCTTCCACTGCCCGTGTTCGTATAGCCGAAACAACTTTCGCTGCTTCAATTTTACCCGGATCAAGATCGTGATTGTGTTCTGATGATGACAGAGCAACATCGTTCAGCATTTTCATCCGTCCTCGTCAGCCATCTTTCTTGCAGCATCTCCATGTCGTACTCACATCAGCAGTTGCTCTGTCCTTTCGATATCTGTAGCCTTCGACCAAAATAATTACCTTCCCTTTCTGTGATTCGATCTTCTCCATGTTACTTGGGTTAGAGATTTTGTCAAACTGCATTCATAACATATTAACCATAATATATAAATAAAGACGTTGTTCTCTCGCCGATTGTTAAATTAAAACAAGTGTTAACCATGTCATATTCGTTTAGCATACATATGTTTTTTTAATTGACTGCGCTCTTATGTCGGCGCTCTTTTGTCTGCGCTCTTTTGTCAGCGCTCTTATGTCGGCGCTCTTTTGTCTGCGCTCTTATGTCGGCGCTCTTTTGTCTGCGCTCTTATGTCGGCGCTCTTTTGTCGTGCGCTCTTTTGGCGGGTCACCATATATATATATATATATATATATATATATATATATATATATATATATATATATATATATATATATATATATATATATATATATATATATATATATATATATATATATATATATATATATATATATATATATATATATATATATATATATATATATATATATATATATATATATATGTATATGTATATATATATATATTTGTGTGTGTATGTATACTTATTAAATAATTCATATATATATATTTTTTAAGCCGTAAACATGACGTCTACTAACCTATGACATCTGTGGTCTTTGTGCTCACCATGACACCAGATGACCTTGAAGGGGTTGACCGGACACACGCACTCCGGCTCGATGGCACACCTCGCCCACGGTTCAAGAATAGCTCGGATGTTAAAGATATCCTTCCTGTACATGGAGAGGGTTGCAGGTAACTCTGGGAATAAGTTGA